GCTGCAAAGCAATAATTTATATATTTATCTTTCAAGCAATACTAAATGGATTGAATTCTTATTGAGTTTTCCTAGAGTTTCACCTTTTGTCAAATTTGCATAACATAGATATATCACAGTCTGTATTGTGGTAATGTACAGCAAAAGTGTGTTGAGGTTATTGGAAACACCTAACTGATTGCTCTCCCAGCAGCTATGGAGATAATAGGCAGAGAGCAGGAAGAGATAGGAGATAACAAAAATAACACTGTCTAGGGAACAACAGCAACTTTAGGAACAAAATGCCCATGGGACTGACTTCACAAGTCACAGTGTCTTGCCAACTAATGAGTACTAGTTTTCTTGCTGCTTTTATTGCTTTGAGGCATCTTACAAAGACCCAGATCTTGACCAGTTGCAGAGAGGCTCTTATCTAGACATACCAAGCTGTCCCACTGCTAATGGGGGGAAAATCCGGATGTAACTGGTGTTGACACATATTCAGACACAATCCAGGGCCTCTTTTGCATCTTTACGGACAACATAAATATATCACAGTCTATTGTTTGTGTGTACACACACACACATATATATATATATATATATATATATATATATATATATATATATATATATATATATCGCATACACTCAACTGTGAAGTATGGGGCCTACAGCCCCAATACAGTAGTCATTGCTGCTATGATTTACATAACAATAAAATTTTTCACATGATAGAGTTGAACAGTGCCTATCTAGTTATGCTACAAATGTTAACCAATTGATAACATTCACATTTAAGCATGTAGCAACATTCCAAGTGTTTGCATAGATTAATGGTTAACAGCTTGAAAAATGGTATTGCTGAGCCATGATAAAATTCCATCTAGGTCAATTGTTTACTTCCCATTAATGCTTTTTCAAAAGGCACAAATCAATATTTTCTCCTAGCAATAGGTTAAATAGTAAGCAGCCTGGATTCTCAAATCTTTGTTGGCAGCAAGTAAAGAAGGACAACTCTAAATTCATAACCATGGAAAATGCAGCAGGAAGTCTTTGTACTTTGTGCCATGTCCCTTCAAGATATGGGTGATCATGGCTCTCTACAACTACCTATCCTATGTAATTCTTATTGCTCCTAATCCCTATTTTGTCAACAATTTACACAAGCTTGTTAAATAGGGTACTCACTGTTTCCTTTACCTTTCTTGCCTTCACTCTACCTTGTGAGTGTTAAATTTTCCTATCCCTCTTCCTTTATTATGTGCCCTAAAAATTTCAGTTGTCACTTTCTGATTCTGTGTCAAAGACTTTGTCATTGCTCAGTTTATGGTATTCTCAGCATCCTTCTGTAGGACCATATTTATGCTGCTTCAAGATTCTTCATCTGTGATGAGATTGGCCAACATCCACTGCCAAACAAAGGTCATGGTATGGTATTGTTTATTGATATTAAAGAAAAAGAGGCTGTCCAGAAAGAACTTGATACTTAAATCAAAAGCAGCTACAGTCTTCTTCATCCAATTTTATTCCCATGCATAATGTTTACACTTAGTAGTAGTAGACATACGTCTTAAGGGATACAAATTCAATTATTCTTTCTTTTTTAAAAGATTATTTTTTTATTTTCACATATTATACTGAAAATAATCTATATATTGCAATAAAAAGAAACAAATATTAGATGAAAGAAAAAATAGTCAAAAATTAATAATACACACATTATTTTTTTTATTTTTTTCAGCTTATCTAGCATGAGATGATTTTAAAGGTTTTAATTTGAAAAATATTGAATCGATCAGTATTCATATTTCATAATGGAATAAAATTTCATTTCATATTTAATAATGGAATGAATGATTCATTTGAAATGATATTGTACCAAATCTCCAAAACTACCATTACTTCTTTCTGGTTAATAAATTTCTTTACATACTCCCTCAGTGCTATGCCTTTTCCAGATGTGAGCAATTGTGGCTCTCCACAATTTCCTGTCTTTCATTGTTTTCTTCTTTACTACCAACCATTCCTCCTTTACTATCACCCATTTGCTTAAATTTATCTAGTAGATTAATCACTGTTTTCCATTACCTTCAATGTACCCTGTGAGTGTTAAATTCTTCAAGCTTTCTTTCCTCCTCATGTTTCACAACTGCTTCCCTATAAAAGCCACTTGTATAAAGATGTCATTCTGCTATTTGGGGTCTGATTTCAGTTCATTCTGTTTTACAGTAAGAATTTTTGTGGTAGCTCAGGTTGAACTTAACAAGATACAGTGGGTTTCTTTTCATAAATGAAAGATACAATCACATAGCTCACAGCTAAAACTGGAATCTCCACTTTTGATGATTTTTATGCTAGCTCCTTCTACTTTTGAATTGACCATCAAGGCACATTCTTTAAATCTAACAATTTTCATGCTTCTCATGTACAAGATAATGTAAAGTAGCTGTCTGTTTACTTCTGTTATATTTTATCATCAACTGAGTCATTGCCAATAAATAAGCACTAAATCCATTTGTGTTGCCACAAAATTTCATTTTATCCTTCATAGGAGTTAATACAATAAAAATGTTCTTTTTATATTAGTATATTTAACATTTAACGCTTTGTAGACAATTTTGTTTATCAAGTAAAAGGTCTGTCCTGCCACTATAGGCAATTCCAATTTAATGTCCTCATTCCTTGCTGTGACAACTAAAATATTCTTGACTGAGGGTCCTTGAAAAGCGATGCAGTGAAAAGGGAAGTATTACATGTAAATGATATACAATACTAATTTTTTTTAAATATTTTGTGGGCAATCATGACTCTCCACAATTTCCTAATCATTGTAATTCTAAGCAATATTTGTCCTGTTATTTTCCCTCCTAGTCTCTTTTTTTTTCTTTTTTTGCCATCCTTGTTAGGTATGCTACTTGATGTTTTTTCCCAGCACTTGCCCTTAGTATACCCTGTGAGTGTTGAATTTGCCACTACTTCTTTGCTTTTTGTGTCCCAGAAATTTCACTTTTGTCTTTGATTGTCATGTTGTTTCCAAATTTCTGGCAGAGTGAATTGTGTCATGGTGCTCTTTTTCTCACAAATGTTGCCTGACTAACCCTCCTATACCGTGCAGTTGACAAAATCAAAAAGAAACAACATGCATGCATGTAATTAAAAATATAGAATAGCGACAATTTACTCATCGCACCCTGTGTTCAAGTATGGTGTGTTTTTTTAGGATCATTTTTTAATGCAAACAATAGGCCATTGCACTATATACAGATAGTTATGAAGAGGATAAAAATCATACGTTTTCAGATACTGTTTACACTATATACAGGTAATTTTTTTTCTGGAGTGGGTTAAAATTCATACAAAAATATTCAGTGGTAGCACTATACATGAAGACAGCTTATGCATGAGTATATACATTTTTGGTTTGATTCTTTTTATTCCATCAACTGTACACTCCAAGATTTTGTTTTGTTTCTTGTATTACAAACAAATAGAAAATTAATTTAAATTTTAATTAATAAAAAAAGAAAAAAATGTTCAGCTTAGAAACAAAAAGAAATTACATGTTGAAATGCCTACAGATGGAAAAAAAAATTTTTCACAGATTGTTGAGATAGTCAGGCTTAAGCAAAACTGTTAATAAGGTCCCTTTCAAAGTTTTTGGAACTCCAGTTTCAAATGCATCTTGTTTTAAATATCTACTCTTCATATTCCATATTTTTCTCAACTCCCAGGCAAGGTCCTGATATTTCTTTGATTCTCTACTCTCTTTTACATTTAGTGGTTGCTCTGTAGGTTGACATTATAAACTATTTCGTGAATTTTGTTCTCCTTGTTTGCACATATGCCATTTGTTTTTATTGTCAATTTCATGTTTGCTGTGTTCTCTGTATATGACTAGTTCCACCCTGTTGTCTCCTCTTTTGTATCTACATTTTTATTCTTATAACTTCTTGCATGCATTTATGTGTTATGTTTTCAGATAAATTATTTTGCTTACATGAAGAACATAAGAATCTTTTGTTTTACAGAAGCAAGCTAGGTGTATTTCTAGGTGTATTTGTATTGCCAAAACAAAAGAAGCTTAGATTATTTGAAGGGTACAACAGGGGTTCAAACAAGAAATATTTCAATAAATCATATTGTGTTTGTGTCATTCTCTATGCTTTCACTTTTTTCTCAATATCTGTTTCCTTTCTTTCTTTCTTGCAATTTTAACTTTGTGTCTCTTCCATCTCAACATGTGTGGCCGCCGTGTCTCTCCTCCCGTCCCGACATGCGTGGCTGCCGTGTCTCTCCTCCCGTCCCGACATACGTGGCCGCCGTGTCTCTCCTCCTGTCCCGGCATGCGTGGCCGCCGTGTCTCTCCTCCCGTCCCGGCATGCGTGGCCGCCGTGTCTCTCCTCCCGTCTCGGCATGCGTGGCCGCCATGTCTCTCCTCCCGTCCCGACATGCGTGGCCGCCATGTCTCTCCTCCCGTCCCGACATGCGTGGCCGCCATGTCTCTCCTCCCGTCCCGACATTTCTTCCAATTATTTCTCTTTAACATTTCTTCCTAGCCCAACTTACTTTTATTTATTTTGGACATGAATTTTATATATGTAAATTTATGTTTTTTATCTGTATCATAGTAGTTGCAGGAATATACATATGACAATAACAATGATATCTGTCTTGTCAACACCCATGTAATTTCCAAACGTACATATAGGATCTACTACTATTATTATTATTATTATTATTCCTTGCCTAAAGTTTTTTGCTTTTTTCTGTTTGAAAATTATTTTTCTGTTTGAAAATTATTTTTCTGTTTTAAATCTATGAAAGAAAAGTTGCCAATTTATCTTTCATCTGACACAAGTGCAAAAGACTAATCAAAATGAATAAGTTTCATTTTATTTTTTGTTTTAACAATAAAATTATTTTGATAATTCCATGCTGACAAAAAATGTTCAGTAAATAAGGAGACCATGCTTTTTATAGTTTTGTTTACCATGTCCATTTGAATAAATATCAATCAAATGACTCTGTTATGGAAGGAGATCTTTTGTTTAAATTACTTCATACATTTATTAACTGATTTATCTATCCCTGTAGGTTTGGTCTTATCTCACTATCACTTGTTTACATCAGTTATTTTTTATATCTATCATCCATTGTCACAAACTATCATTCCTCTTTTATGTTTGTCTGTATCCAGTCATTTCTCTTTCTCTTTGAACCTACCCTCCCTCATTGACTCTCTGTTCGTATACAACTCTCTCATACTCCCTCTCTGTTTGCATTCAGCACTCTCTCACTATCTGTCTGTGTCTGTTCTCCCGCCCTGTCCGTATCGGAGGCTCTCCCGCCATGTCCGTATCAGAGGCTCTCCCACCCTGTCCGTATCGGAGGCTCTCTTTCTCTATATATCCAACACTGTCTCACTCCCTTTCTGTATCCAATGATCTCTTGCTCTCTCTTTCTGTGCATATTCAAAAATCTCTCTCTCCTTGCATTTCACCACTTCATTTCTCCCTCTCTCTCATTTATTCCCACTGTCCCCCCGTTCGTTTCTCCTCTCTTTTCCCCCTGTTCGTTTCTCCCCTCACTGTTGCCCCTACTTTTCTTCATCTCTTTTTTTCCTGTCTCCCCATACTTTTCTTCATCACTTTTCTTGTCTCCCCATTCGATTCATCCTCTCTCTTTTCTTGTCTCCCCATTCATTTCATCATCTCTCTTTTCCTGTCCACGTTTCTCCCTCTCTTTCTTTCCTCCCATTTATTTCTTACTGTCATTCTCCCTCTATCTGTCCCCACCCCCATTCATTTCACTCCCTCTGTCACCACTCCTATTCGTCTCACTCCCTCTCTCTCTCTGTTGCCACACCCAATCGTCTTTCTCCATCCCTCCCTGTTGCCACCCCCATTCGTCTCTCTCCATCCCTCTCTGTTGCCACCCCCATTCGTCTCTCTCCATCCCTCTCTGTTGCCACCCCCATTCGTCTCTCCATCCCTCTCTGTTGCCACCCCCATTCGTCTCTCTCCATCTCTCTCTGTTGCCACCCCCATTCGTCTCTCTCCATCTCTCTCTGTTGCCACCCCCATTCGTCTCTCTCCATCTCCCTCTGTTGCCACCCCCATTCGACTCTCTCCATCTCTCTGTTGCCACCCCCATTCGTCTCTCTCCATCTCTCTGTTGCCACCCCCATTCGTCTCTCTCCATCTCTCTCTGTTGCCACCCCCATTCGTCTCTCTCCATCTCTCTCTATTGCCACCCCCATTCGTCTCTCTCCATCTCTCTCTGTTGCCACCCCATTCGTCTCTCCATCTCTCTGTTGCCACCCCATTCGTCTCTCTCCATCTCTCTCTGTTGCCACCCCCATTCGTCTCTCTCTCCATCTCTCTCTGTTGCCACCCCCATTCATCTCTCTCCATCTCTCTCTGTTGCCACCCCATTCGTCTCTCTCCATCTCCCTCTGTTGCCACCCCCATTCATCTCACTCCTCTCATCCTCTTCATATTTCTGCTTTTCAAAATTCTATATAAATCTCTCTCTCCATATATATATATATATATATATATATATATATATATATATATATATATATAAAATTTTTCCATTTATACAATTTTACCAATGGTAAATGTAGTTTTGTAACAAGGTAAAAGTGAGCATAGTAAATACTTATCAGTAAGTTTATATCAATATACATCTGTCTAGGAATAAAAAGTTGTCATTTCTAGTATCAGTGTGAAGCCAAATTTTGAGATACTAATAAAAGATGTTGCCAATGATTATGGTAATTATTGGTTTTATTTGTAAGTTGTGGACATAAAAAAAGTCTTACAAGTGTCCACTTTTCAATTAGGTTTTGCAAAACTGGATAGTAGACCACTTAAAGGTGTAAATATGTGTCAGAGTAAATAAGATAGCCATTACTGTGTCTATATACTTGTGTAATTGTATATATATCCAATAATATGTGTGCATCTCTGATGGCGTGTTCAGGAATATATCCATATACATTTATACATATCTTAATATCAGCTATATATATATATATATATATATATATATATATATATATATATATATATATATATATATAAAAAAAGATTGTATCAACAAGAGAAAAATGTATATTTAAAAAAAAGAGACAAATCACAAACGTTTTTAGTTATAATGTGGATTTGTTTTAGTGTATATATTATATTTTATTCTTCATATTTTTTGCTACACACATTTCCTAGTCTTGTGAACTTCTTCAGGCATTTGAAAAGGAATCAATTTTTAAAGGAATAAATTTTCCTTATGTTCTTTTAATGTTTCATTGTTTTCTGTAGTGAGCCTTGATCTCATTTCTGGTCTGTTGGCAAAAGTGAATTTCTGCCTAAGTAGTAATAAAATCATTAGTCTGAGTGATGATGATGATAGATGTGTTGATGGGAGATGTTTTCCTATCCCTACATTACCCTTGAGACTGTCAAATCTATTTCCATTTTTGTGTATTGTGTGTGTGTCCCCATTAGCTTGCACATGAATCAGCATACTCATATATATATATATATATATATATATATATACACACACACTTCTTGTGTTATGTAGGGCTCACATGTGGGCCTGTGAGTAGTCTGTTTTTGTGAGTGTATGTATATATATTTTTGTTCTCTATGGATACCTGTTTGTGCATATGTACATGTATGTATGCATGTAGTACAGTCCAACCAATATATACATATATATATATATATATATATATATATATGTGTGTGTGACTAATAATAATATGCTGATGAAATAAATTTGAGAGACCAAAAAACAATATTAATGATAATAAAAATATTTATTGTATATTATGAGGCATTTTAACCAAATAAAAGCATGATGAGAAAAGGTGTTAAAATTCATATATAAGCTAGTGAAACTCGTGTGTGTGTGTATATATATATATATATATATATATATATATATATATATATATATATATAGAGAGAGAGAGAGACTCGTGTACCTGCATATGCATATATCTATATATACACACACACATATATATGCATGCCAAACAAGTGAAGAAAATGAGAAAATCCAATTTTTTAAAGGATTGTGTTTATGCTTATTTTTCTTTTATGTATTTACTTATTTATTTACAAAACGTAAAATATTTTAATTCTTTTTGATGATAAAAATAAAATAAAAAGGCAAATAAAACAAATGTTAAGTTCCTAAATTTTACATTTTTAATAACATGATTTTCCTTGGTACATTCTATGCATTTTAGAATTTAATGCATTGATATTTGAAGAGAAAATAAATGTGATTTATTCAAATAACTACAACGCAAATTGACCTCCATTAAGATCATAGTCCACAACTCCACACTGAATTCAATAATCCTTTCCATGGTTATATAGTATGAATGTCATCAGGGCTGCATATATTTTGGTTGCCAACTTTGCCTTCTATTTAATCCATAGCTGTGAGAATAGAGATGGATTCATATCTTTTCCAGGGTTATTAATATAATGAATTTAAGTGAAATGTAAATACAGCTTTCCAATTTCTTGTTCTGAACTGCTAGCCATTTACACCTGCACATTCAAAATAATCACAAGTAAAAATTAAATAAGAATAAACTTGATATTACAATGCTGTTTTAGCATCAGAATGTGGTTATAAAGAATATGGCACATGCCTGGTTATTTGCTGGTGAGACACTGAACAGAGCTGGAGTCACTTGTTAATCTTATAATAATCTTACAAACTTTATTTCAAATACATTTCCAGACCTGCTAGAGAATGTACTCCTGCTAATACAAAGATGCATGTCGTTCGTGCATGATGGGGATCCAGCACATTTTAGTCACATTGTTTGTGAGGGACTAGTTGACAACCACTATAAAAGATGGACATGTAGGGGAGAAATTATTCCATGGCTGCACATTCCTTTGGATTTTTATCTGTTGGAATACCTAAAACAATTGGTTTATGCAGCAGACATTAATAATGCAGAGGTACTTCATCAATGTGCCATGAGGGCCTGTAAAACCATTCAACACAATATGGGAGTATTTGAAAGGGTTTGCCAGTCAATGATCTGACAGATATATATGTGTGTGTAGAAGCAAGCAGAGGACATCTTGAACTTTTGTTGAGTTGTTGTATTAAGGTACAACAATGGCCTTTTATGTTATGTTTATATGGATATTTTACCTTGTTTTGGTGTCAGGAAACTGCCCCCAATGTTTGTAGAAGTATTTTTGATGCACTCTATATATTGAAAATTTCATGAAAATTTTTCTCATCAGAATGCATCTTGCACATTTATAAATCTACCATTTGTCTGTGCATTGAATACTATTGCCATATATGGTCTGGTGCAAAATTCTTGACAAAATTCAAAGAAGGGTCTATAATGTAATCGATCTTGACCAGGTATCTCAAATTCAATCACTTTTTCACCTATGTGACATGACTTCCTTCTGTCTTTTCTACAAATGTTTTCATAACAACTGTTCTGGTGAGCTTTTTTCCTTGTTGCCTTGACTACATGAATTTTAGTGCACAACTAGATTGCCAACTCAATCTCACCAATTTACTGTTGAACTATCTAGATGCAACAGCCACTTCTACTCTAACAGTTTCTATTCTCACACATCTCACCTGTGGAACTCTTTTTGTTGAATATTTAAAATACGGAGTCAAACTGGCAGATTATTTGTGTGTGTTATTTTAATAAATGCTTGAATCCTTTTTCTTAATATTATGAATTAAAACATCTAATTCATATAACTGAAGAGATAATTTACCACTAACTTACCTATTTATTGATTACCTATTAAATATCTACTATTAGTGAATAAGCAAAGGTGGATGATGTACTACTGATACAAATAGACTATTTTCTTCTCTTAAATTCACATGGATATAAGAAGTAAAGAAATTCCTTAGAATAGATTGGTAGCTATTTGTTGTACACAAAACACTGAATAAAAATGCTTGTTGGCTGTCTGGCTGGCCTCCACAAACTGAGTGTAGAAAGAGACCATGGCAATTTCACTCTCTGATCATACGCGGCATTTACAATGATAATGAACGCCCACTTTTAAAACTCGATTGCTTCCCTCATTGGAACAGCCATTCTATGTACTTGCTTATATATTATTTGATCAGTGTTATTCACTTGGCTTTTATTTCTTTTAATGCCAAAACCTAAAGCAATTTCTGTTTGATTTCTTTCCTTCCTTAGATTCACTCTTTTCTTCTCTAGATTCACTCTTTTCTTCTCTTTTACTTTTATTCAATTCTGTTTCCTTGACATTTTTCTTCCATTTTGATTCACATTTTTTCAATTGCTTTTTTTGTTTTTTTTTAAGTTTTAATAGATCCTTTCTTTCTCTTGCCTGGGCGTATATGCTTTTTATCTCTCTTTTCTTGGAAAATGTTGCTTTCCTTCTCTCTGGACCATTTTGCAGTCCTTCTCTCTTTTTTTTTTTTTTTTTTTTCTCTGAACAGTGTTGCTTTCTCTCTCCCTCCCTCTCCTCGGAGAGCGTTGCTTTCTCTCCCTCCTCGGGACAGCGTTGCTTTCTCTCTCCCCTCCTCGGGAGGCGTTGCTCTTTCTCTCTCCCTCCTCGGGACAGCGTTGCTTTTCTCTTCTCCCTCCTCGGGACAGCGTTGCTCTTTCTCTCTCCCTCCTCGGACAGCGTTGCTCTTTCTCCCCTCCTCGGACAGCGTTGCTCTTTCTCTCTCCCTCCTCGGGACAGCGTTGCTCTTTCTCTCTCCCTCCTCGGGACAGCGTTGCTCTTTCTCTCTCCCTCCTCGGGACAGCGTTGCTCTTTCTCTCTCCCTCCTCGGGACAGCGTTGCTCTTTCTCTCTCCCTCCTCGGACAGCGTTGCTCTTTCTCTCTCCCTCCCTCGGGACAGCGTTGCTCTTTCTCTCTCCCTCCTCGGGACAGCGTTGCTCTTTCTCTCTCCCTCCTCGGGACAGCGTTGCTCTTTCTCTCTCCCCTCTCTCCTCCTCGGGACAGCGTTGCTCTTTCTCTCTCCCCCCTCGGGACAGCGTTGCTCTTTCTCTCCCCCTCCTCGGGACAGCGTTGCTCTTTCTCTCTCCTCCTGGGACAGCGTTGCTCTTTCTCTCTCCCTCCCTCCTCGGGACAGCGTTGCTCTTTCTCTCTCCCTCCTCAGGACAGCGTTGCTCTTTCTCTCTCCCTCCTCGGGACAGCGTTGCTCTTTCTCTCTCCCTCCTCGGGACAGCGTTGCTCTTTCTCTCTCCCTCCTCCGGGACAGCGTTGCTCTTTCTCTCTCCCTCCTCAGACAGCGTTGCTCTTTCTCTCTCCTCCTCGGGACAGCGTTGCTCTTTCTCTCTCCCTCCCTCGGGACAGCGTTGCTCTTTCTCTCTCCCCTCCTCGGGACAGCGTTGCTCTTTCTCTCTCCCTCCTCAGGACAGCGTTGCTCTTTCTCTCTCCCCTCCTCGACAGCGTTGCTCTTTCTCTCTCCCTCCTCGGGACAGCGTTGCTCTTTCTCTCTCCCCCCTCGGGACAGCGTTGCTCTTTCTCTCTCCCTCCTCCTCGGGACAGCGTTGCTCTTTCTCTCCCTCCTCGACAGCGTTGCTCTTTCTCTCTCCCTCCTCAGGACAGCGTTGCTCTTTCTCTCTCCTCCTCAGGACAGCGTTGCTTTCTCTCCTTCCTTTTGACCTTAATTGCATTTTTAAACTGATACTTTTTACGTACTCATTTTCTCATCTGTGCTTTCAGATTTCTCAAACGTTGTTTTTATATATATATATATATATATATATATATATATATATATATATATATATATAATGATTTAATTTTATCAGTATTTTTAATCTGGCCTCAACATTTATATTTTAAGACCAACTCATCATCTCTTATCACAGGGCCTTTTCTCAGACAAGCAATATGGCTTTCATTTCTCCAAATCAACTGCTGATTTACTAACAATAATTGCAGAAAGAGTCTATCATGCATTAGATAAAAACAGTGAAGTCTGGGCTGTAGCATTGGACATCTCAAATGCCTTTTACAGGGTCTGACATTCCGATCTTCTCCACAAGCTGAAAAGCTACGTTATCATCAGACACATTTTTGAGCTGATCCATTCGTCCCTTTCAAATTGTGAAATGGAAGTTGTCCTGACTCATCTAAATCATGGGTTCCGTCTTTGGTCCTACACTGTTTTTAAACTTCGTTATCAACCTTCCCAATGACATCAGCTCTCAACTTGGCATTTATGCTGATGACAATACCATTTACTCCTGCCTCAATAGTAGTCTGATCAGTCAGACAAGGTCAAAATGGAAGCCAATGTACAAAATAACCTCAAGACTATCATTAACTGGGAAAAAGATGGCTTGTCAATTTTAACGCCTCCAAAACTAAACTGCTCTCTATTAATTATCTGAAAGAGCCCACTCTGCCTTCTATCAGCTTGGCTGACACTATCCTTCAAGAAAGTAACTCACTGTGCTTTTTCAAGTTAACGTTCTCTGCTGACATAAGGTGGAAAGGACTACATTGAATCTATCGCCAGATCAGCTGCTAAGAAAGTCGGTTTACTATATCGAGCAAGACAATTTTTCTCTCCAGAATTTTTCTTGCATATCTGTAAGTCTACCATTTTTCTATGCTTAGAATATTGTTGACATATATGGTCCAGTGCCCCTGCTATTTATTTGACTTTTGTCCTCAATTTTCTTTCTCATTTTTCCCTTTACTTGCTTTCCTTTTTAACACTATTTCTCATTTTTCTTGTCTCCCACATTTTACCTTTTTTTTCCCTGTCTGATTCTTTGTCTTTATATTCGTTCTTTCTTTTCACTTGTCTGCATTTTTTTTTTTACCTTTCTTTTATTCATCTTTTTTTTTTTTTTTTTTTTTCCTATTTTATTCACCATTGAAAACTTGAACAATATGTAACTGCCACTTGCACATGTACTGGATTCAAACCATTCATTACAACTGTTATCACTCTCTATCTCTCTCTCATCTCTCCCTGAGAAAATCTCTTCCTGTCTGTTAGCAAATAATTTCCATTTCTTTCTATTTCTCAATCTTTTCTCTTTCCCAATGTATTCTTCTCTGCTTCTTTCATTCTCATTCCCTTTTATTTTTAGTAGTATGCTTTATTTACTAGTATGTTTTATTTACTGTCTGGAATAGTTGTGCCAGTGGGAATTTTGTAAAATAAGCAGGAAATTCTGGATTCCTGGAACAAAATAATCATGTCACAAGAAAATTATTTAATAAGCATTCCATACTAAATAAACACTGTGTCAAGAAAAAATTGAAAGAAATTTAATCTTGGCACTTATATTTGGAACACAAAAGACATTATTTATTACTCTTTCTCTTTAAAATATAAAATGACCTCTCTCTCTCTCTCACCCACACACACACAATCTGTTGGATTAATAAATAAAATACTCAAAATCTACACCATATATATATATATATATATATATATATATATATATATATGGGATAGATTTTTTATTTATTAATCCAACAAATTTTTATTACCCAGGCATTATTTTTAATGTATTTGAGTAGACCCTTTGTTTATTTATTAAGCAGTATATTATTTTCATCTGCCGGCTTGAATATTCAAGAAATCTTATTAGAGAAAAATATACTCTCTCTGGCAGAATTCAAATTCTTTCTTAACGTTAGGATATGAAACAGAAGATATGTCTATTTCAAGAGTCAGAGAAAAAAAATCTGTGTTTAGAGGCATGATTCAACTTGGCCCTCAATGCACTCTGTAACCAACAGGTCAAAGCACATCGGATCTAATGACAATTTCCCTGAGGGGAACACTGGTTCGACTACTGCCAGTGACATTTTTCTCTAATAAGATTTCTTAAATATCCATGCCAATAGACTAAAATAAATAAATATGCAATTTAATAAATAAACAGATTGTCTACTCAAATTCAAGTATCCACTAAAATAACATCTATTTATCTATCTATCTATATATGGTCAACTCTTGTGAAAGATAAATGAGGGTCAGCATTAGATGATGCCTTTTGTTTTACACATGCATGCTAGCAGGGGGCTATTGTGGAGAAATATCTATATATATATATATATATATATATATATATATATATATATATGTGTGTGAACACCTCCTCCACAAATTAAGTTCATCTTATTTTTAGTAACTTTTGTGCCGTACTAGTTTCATTTACATGCTTGTAAAATTGGAACTCACTACCTACCAGGACATGGACTCATAACATTTTTTTCCAGCCAATCATCTTTCTCCATCGTTACTCTTTACGCTATTTACCTTTTCTTTTCTCACTTTCACTACTTTCTCCTTTAAATCTCATCCCCCTCCCACAGCTACATTTACTCTTTTTTTTTCCTCATCTTCTCTTTCTCTGATTATATTTTAACACTTACCTACTCATATGATTACTTCCTTTTTTTTTTTTGTTTTTTTTTTTTTTTTTTTTTTTTTTTCTTCCCTCTCTACATTTCTTTCATTCTCTCTACTCTTCCTATCATTTGCACCTTTCCTATGATCCACCCTTCTTTCTCCACTTGCCGTCACATCTCTAACCATTAATGTTGTTGCTTCTGCTTCTGCTGCTATTAAGACCACTATTTCATCCAGTTGTGATAAGAATCTCTCCGGAGATGTCCAGGTATCCGATGTAATAGAGATACCTTCAGCTGAAATATTAACAACATATAGAAACACCAGCAATTGAAATGCTTCATGCTGCCCTTCATTCAACTCTGGATTTTACTTGAAAAAAAAATGAACTGATATTTATTGATACCCCAAATTTGGATTTTTCTCATACTTCATTTTAGTTCAAATATTTTTCTCTGGATTCATTTGTCTAATAATTTTAATTTTAATCATCCCTCTAGGATTCATTTAGCCATCAATTTTTTTTTTATGTATGTGTGTGGTTTTTATATATTTCTAAATGTGGAAAATGATGTTCTTTATTGAAAAGTTATTTTTCTTATAATTTAAAAGTACTTCATATAAAATGGGAAAATATTAGCATATAATTTTTTTTTTTAAATTCATGTGTGGCACCTAAATTTCATCCTCTGAGAAAAACTTTTTTGAACTGGTAGGAGAAAATTTCCATCATTTTCTTAGAATTTGATTATCCGTTTATTTTATTTTTGACTTTTAAACAAAGTATATTTGGGGGGAAATAAAATATATTTTTTTATTTATCCTTCTTAATTAGTGTCAATTAAGACAACACAAAAAATGAAAAAAAAAAAACAAAACTAAGGACTTTGTGCAAGTACAAAAAACTGTTAATTTTTAACCAATTAGAAACAATAGATGAGATTTCATGTGAAATTTCTTTTTGCAAAACAAGTACAGAAAAAAATAAAAAATACCCTGATTCCAAGTTAACAATGACTCTACAATAACTAGAAAACTTTTCACCTGTATAAAAATGAAGTATAAAATGAAGTCACATATTGAGAAATTCTGAAACCCTAAAACAGTTTGAATTTCAAATTATTGAGCAAAAAGAAAATTAGATCAGTCAAAATAATTGCTCACTAGTTTGTCAACCTTATATTTATCAATATTATGATATAATAATATAGATTGCTTTTTGTCTGTCCTTGCACCAGAATTGCCTCTGCCAATCAATTAACAGAAATATATTTGTTTCCTTCTTAATTTGATTTCAAATTTTATGAGCTGACTTCAAAAAAAAAAAAAGAAAAAAAAAGAGAATTGATTAAATTATATCTAAAAATGAGACTAATTGAACAGAATAAAACCTCTGAAAAATATCAATAAAATTAAAAGAAAGAATTGTGCAACGATGGTGGAATGAACATTTAAAAACATATATATGGAATTTTTTAGAATAAAGAATACACTGGAGTGAAAAGAAAAATAACTCGAACACCTTACAGAACAATGGATATATATGTGCCAAATACTGGCAAAAGGATTATAAATATAGACAGTTAAATATCGTGACAAAGGGAGACATCAAGGTAAGTCAGGTCATATTTTCCATGTTAGATTTTTGCTTATTTAGAACAAAGGTAATTCCAGAAAACTGGTTAATCAATACTTAATTCATGAGATAGTGATAAGGTTATTGATAAAAATCTCTCACTATCTAATTGTATTCTTTTCAGAAGAAATGAATTAAAGTAGCAAAAATTGCACTTCTGTAAGGAAATTTTGATTGAAAAATAATGAATGAAAAATGCAAAAGAAATATAGAAAAGAATATAACTGGTAAGAAAGGTGTAATATTTGTTGTGCAAAGTTATTAGTCCTGACCTGGCATCTCAGTTTAAGTAACTTTTCTACCACACCATAATGTAGTTGTCCTATTCCTTTACTATAAATATTTTTGTGGGAATTTTTCTGATAAGCTTTCATATTCTGTACCTTAATTTTTACAAATTTAACCACACTACTAGATTTGCAGCCAAGTCTCATCATTTTACAATTGAAATTGCTAGATGTAATCATAAATTCTATGCTAACAGTTGCTTCTCTAGCAATTAACACTTGTGAAACTCTATTCCAGTATCTTGCTTCCCAGTCAACTTTGATCTTCAAAAATGTAAATGCAATGTCAATCATTATCTTCGTAATTCCTATTCTTTTATAGCCTTCTCTCTTGAATAATTTTCCTTCTTACTCTTTTACTCTCAGTAAACTCTTCCATC